ATCTATCTAAGACAGGGTCTCACTATGTAACTTTGGCTATAGTTTTTTGACAACCTGTAGACCAGGTTGGCCTAGAACTTATAAAGATCTACTTTCCCCTGCCTCCCAAGTGCTAGGATTAAAGGCATGTGCCACTATGTCCAGCTTTCGGTCATCTCTTGATGGATGTCCAGTTTCATTCCACTACATGGCTACTGTGAAAATTTCAGAGTATCTTTGCATGGAGCAGCACAGCGTGTGACATCAGCACCCTGGGGGTCCCAAGAAAGCTGTTGCTCAGCAGAACCTCTCTGTCCTGTACCGTTCATGCTCCCTTCTAGGAGGCTTGCTCTCTGCTAAGCTTGACCCTGACGTTTTCTGCTAGATGGAGGATACTCAGATCTACACTTTGCTTAAGATAGTATCAGCACCCACGGTTTGCTGTTTGGTTTGGTTTCACATCAACGTTTTCTCCCATATATCTAGTACCTATCAGCTAAATTGTCCTGCTTCCAACACACCCTGCTTCCATGTCTGCCTGTGGGAAAGTGAGGCAGTTCTAGGCACCTAGGGGACATCTGGATGCAGGGGAAGTGGTACTTGGGATGAGGCTCTTACTGGGGACACAAACAAAAGCCATCCGATCAGAAGCAAAATTGTGTTTTTCTCTTTCCACTCACTCACGGAAACCCAGCTCCTGATGAAAGAAGAAGCATGTAAACAATTCACAAATGTCTTGGAAGGGGCGGGACATAAATGAAACGGGGTTTGGATGCTGTGTCCTTGGTTTGATCAGGCAGTGGAAATTATCCCAAGCTAGAACATGCAGGGCCCTTGTCCTTGTCAGTGTTGGTAGAGTTGAGTGGAGAGTCCCCACCCTGCTTCAGGTTACTGTGAAAGCCCATCAGAGGGTATGAAATGGGCCAGCTGCCCTCTTTGGAACTTTCTGAAAGGGTCATGGCTTGCCTGGGCTTGGGGAGGTTGTGGGTTAGGCTGAAAAATCAAGGGGATCCCTTGCAATTGCGCTACTTTTGTTATGACAACTTGAACCTTGGAGGTGCCTGGAGACTCTAGGAGGGCAGCCTGTTATGGGGTCAGCTACATCTTTCCTAGCCCATCCACAGAGTGTGACTCCAGGTCAGACTCCACTGGGTACCACTACCAGCAGCAGCAGCAGCTCCGGCCAGGACACTGGCCAGATTCTGATCATCAAACCCTGTACTGTTTAATCAACATTGTTTTCTCCCACACCAAAGCAGACCAGCCAGCTCATATTTACTGAGTGCATGCCATGCACCCAGGGCTATATTAAATCTCCGCTGAGAGGGGGCTGGAGAGATGGTTCAGAGGTTAAGAGCATTGCTTGCTCTTCCAGAGGTCCTGAGTTCAATTCCCAGCAACCACACGGTGGCTCACAACCATCTGTAATGAGGTCTGGTGCCCTCTTCTGGCCTTCAGGCATACACACAGACAGAATATTGTATACATAATAAATAAATATAAAAAAAAATAAATCTCCGCTGAGACTGATGAAACTTAAATACACTTATATTTAGAAGTTCTCTCATGGTGCAAACCAAGTGCCACTTTCTATGCAAATGGATGAACTCTGTGTGTGTGTGTGTGTGTGTGTGTGTGTGTGTGTATACAAGAGTGTGCACATGTGTTTGTGTGTATGTGCACATTTGTATATGTGCATGTTGAGACCAGGGAACAACCTCAGGTGTCATTCCTCAGGTTCTGACTACCTGATTTTGAGAGACAGGTTTTCTTATTGGCCTGAAACTCTCCAAGGAGGCTAGAGTGCCAAGCCAGTGAGCTCCATGATCTGCTTGTCTCTACCTCCTAGGGCTGGGATTGCAAGTACATCCCGCTATGCTCAGCTGCCACCTCCACTTCCTGTGTGTGTGTGTGTGTGTGTGTGTGTGTGTGCGCGTGTGTGTGCGTGTATGTGTGTGTGTCGGAGGGGGTCAAACTTGGGTCTTCGTAAGTTCTTTATGGACTGAACCATCTTCTCATCTCTCAGACAGCTCAAGTCTTAATCCCTTGGCATCACAATGTTCAGTTTGTCTAGGATTTGTTTCTCCCCATCCTTTCCTTAAACTGCAGCTGTCAAGCCCTCGATGGCCTTTAGAAGTTCGGAACTCGGTTACCACACATCCTCCTTATGGAGACCTTCTTGCCCTTGGCTCCTAATGCTCTTCAAGGTCATGGCTCAGCCCTGATTGTAATCAATGACTGAACCCTCCTCAATCTCCATCTCAACCATCACATTCTGCAGCTGTATCTCCCACCATTTTTCCAGCACATTCTTGTTAGTGTTAACTCATCCGGGATCCCTACCCATGGGTTTGAATAGTTTTGCAGGATCCTTACTTCCTCCTCATGACTCCCTTCCTTATTCAGCAAGGACTCTGTAAACCATCATTTTATTAGCTTCCTTTCAAGTCTTCTCCACTCTCCTGAGCCCTTGGATTCTTTTTATCCTCTGATAGCAAAGTCCTATCCAGCAGGCCCACTTGTCCTGCTACTCCTGCGGGCTTCTGTAGGCAAAGATCCACAGATATCTCATCTGATGATAGGTTTGCTCCAAATTTGATTAAAAAATAATAAATCTGTCACTGGGGGAAAGCCACCATTGTTGGAGAATATTTGTCATAAAAATTTGAGGGTACAATAATCAGAATGGAAAGTATAAATTTGACGTAATCCCTAGATCACTCAGATAGCAAAATAAACAGAGATGTAGACATATGGATGAACATTGGAAGTTTAGTCAGAGACAGGAAGTGGTTCTAAAGGCTCCAGCTAATTGGTCTTGGCTGCTTTGACTTTCATTGCTGCCAAGTGAACCAGAACAAGCTTTCGGGACATGTAACTCTAAGCATGGGGTCTTAGGCCAGTTCTTCCATCAGGAAACTCCCCACTGGCTGGAGGTGAGGGGTGCAGAGAATGGTACACGTTTCTTCCCATCGTTTCTGGAATAACTGAGAGGAGGGAGGGTTGAAGGGAGTTTAACTTGTCGATCTCACTGTCCCCTCAACCCGCTGCAGATCCAGTCCCACCCAGAACTTTGAGATCAGAATGTCCTGGGTAGAGTCTGAAATGTTCTGTGTTTTTATGCTCACTCAAGAGAGTTTTTGTATAGTCATCATGGCATTGAACCTTTGGGTCCAGAGAGTGTGGACAGCTCACTCTAGTCCAAGAGTCTGATTAATGCCAAGCCCTGTGGGCAGCTCAGTAGGGGAAAAGGTACTTGATTTGTCAACCTGGAGTAGAGGTGCAGCTCTTGGAAGAACATTGTGTGTGTGTGTGTGTGTGTGTGTGTGTGTGTGTGTGTGGTGTGTGTGCACACACACACGCATAAGCATATGTGGATACCAGAGAGGTCAGGTTATCTTCTTCCAGAGATGGAGTTTTTCACTAAACCTGGTGCCCACCAATTGACTAGGTTAGCTGGCCAGCAAGCTCCAGGAATCCACCTGTCTCCACACCCTCAGCACTGAGGCTTCCTACACATGCCACCATGCCCAGTGTTTGTGTAGGTGCTAGATAGCCAAACTCAGGTCTACTTGCTTGCATAGAAAGTTCTTTACCCACAGAGCTGTCTCCTAGCCCCAAGAAGAGCATTTATTTGCAAATGATACCTTTTGCCCACACTGGCATTCCTAACTAGGGATGCCGACTACTGGGGCACACCAATTCTTAAAGAGTCCATCTTCCAGATGTCGATCACATGCCATGTGACATTTTGCTTAATGATGTACCACGTGTATACAAGAGGTTCTCAGATACCACCCTGTCGCCTGGGGACCTCATAGTTGTTTTTGTAAGAATCCTCTATGGTGCTGAGATTGCTAGCGACTCTTTTTCAGAGCACATCCACATTGTAAAGCTACATACACAGCTCAGCATGGCCTTGAGCTAGGAGTCTGAGTCATGAAGACCGACCTTCCCTCAAAACTCCCATAACTTCCCTTTTGTGTGCTTTAGAAATTGTATTTAATTCTGTATATGTGTGTTTATCCATGTGTTGGCACATGCATGGGACAGCAGGGACCCTCAGAGTCCTTCAGGGGACTCAGAGCCCCCTGGAGCTAGTTGTAAACTATTGTGAGTCACCTGGTGCGGGTGCTGGGAATCAAACTCAGGCCCCTGAGAGAAGCAGCACATTCTGCGGCATCTCTCCAGCCTCGTTATTTTGTTTTGTTATTGTTGCTTCTGGACAAATGTATTTGACTCTAACAAGGAAGGAAGCAAGAGGCCAACTCAAGGTTAACAATTCAATGTGACTCTGGTCTTAGGACAACCAATGCCATAACAGCATGTTAAAGTTGAAATAGCATGTTGAAGATAAGTGTGATCATTTGTAGTCCCAATGGCAGGGAGGCAGAACCAGGGGAATTCTAACAGCTTAGCCTACTAGGTGAGTTCCAGGCCATCAAGAGAAGTTGTCTCAAAAAAAAAAAAAAAAAAGAAGAAGAAGAAGGATAACATCACACCTGAGGTTGTCCTCAGGATGCCATAGACACACACCTGTGTAAGGTCACAAGCGCACACATGTATGTACACACATGTAGACACAATAAAATAATGATGATGATCTTCATGTGTGTAGAAATCTAGCCTGTAAAGTTCTTTTGAGAAAGAGTGAGAGCCCTATTTGGAAGGAGAAATCTGGATGCAGGCAAGACACTACAACCCTTAGAGTGTGGCTTAGTAAGATGGGCGCAAGCTCACTTCACCTACTGACCGAGGCCACCAACCATCTTGTCTCGCCTCAGATATTTCCTGCTCAAAGCAGGAAGAGCCTGGACAGTTTCTGATGTTTGATCCCTCCCTCATTCCCTGGAGGGGCCGCCCATCAGCCTTCCAGCAAGACACAGCCTGCAGGGCAGATAGGAAACTCTTGGAAAGCCAGGCTTAATAACAATTCCATCTTTCTTCGCAGGCTCATCAGGGCGTGTCCTGGCCTTGCTGTGTGACAGACACTCATCTCCTCAGCACCATCAGCCTCTTACCTTCCCCTGGGCCGTAGGAGGAGCTGGCTGCCCAGGACTTAGCTTCCACATAACCCACTTCCCGGCAGACAACGTGGGCAGCGTGGATGGAGAAGTCATCATCACACACAGTGCCCCACTGGCCTTCATAATAGACCTCCACGCGGCCTTCATTATGCTTCCTCTTCTGGCCCGCCAGGCGGACCTGGATCTTGACCACATCGGAGGGTACCTGGTGCTGATGGTACTCGGGAGCGGGCTGCTGGAAGTACTCGGGGTACTGGAGTTGGTAGGGCCAGCTCTCATACTGTGCTAGGCTCAGGGAGGGCAGGAAGACAAACATAGCCAAACAACCATAGAAGCGGGAGCCGAAAGGTATCTCCATCCTTGTCCTATGCTGAGAAGAGGTCAGGGGTGGCAGCAGGAACTTTCTGGAACAAATAAAAATGAGTGGGAGAGCCATTAGTCTAAAATAAAGGTTGTAGGTTTCTGTAAAGAGTTCTGTGACATTACCTTCCTGGCTTAGCATGCAAAGCTCTTCCGGGTTACATTCCAGCTCAGTTCTGTTCCCATTTCAGTTTTGGCAACACCAGTCTGAGTTCCCAAAGTCTATCACCCATCTTCCTCATCTTTGGAATGCTGTCATCCATACTCGTAACTAAATTTAAAGAAAACCTTTGCTTTTCTTCTTTAAATTTATTCGATTTTATGTATATGCATATATGTATGTATGTGGGCAGGCATACCACTGTATGGGTGTGGAGGTCACAGGACAACTTGTGGGAGTCGATTTTCTTATTTCACCAGGTGGGTCCTAGGGATTGGACTTAGCTCATCAGTCTTGGCCACAAGCTCTTTTACCTGCTGAGTCATTTCTCCAGCCCCCCTTCTTTCTGTCTTTCTCCTTCCCCAATGGAGAAGTTAGCAAAGTTCAAGTGAACTGATAAAGAATGAAGGAAGCACCCCGGTTGTCAACAAAGGCTAGCCATGACCTCTCGGTGTTTGCTGAGTCTCCCTGAGACACCAGTGTCTTGCAGAACTGAGCATAGCTGAGTGGGAAAGGCTCTCTGCTGGCATCTTGGTTCTTTACTGAAGGGTCTCAGAGCCACCCATAGCAACCAGCAGAGAGGAGCCATGTAACACATATAGGATGCTAGTCTTCCACTGGCTTCTAATCTCTTCCTGATACCTCTAATGAGAAAACCCAACTTAGCACAACCAGGAAACAAGGTTGGGAGAGCTGATGGAGAAGTCTGTACTGGCTGGCCTCCTGGACACAAGGCTGGTAGAGAAGGAGAATAGTGGGTCCCATGGGCTGACCTGTATACAAGGCTGGCAGAGAGGGATAACGGTGGGTCCCAAAAGGCAAATGCAAGCTTCCCAGAACAGCTCTACACTCTGCACTTCTTCCATCTCCTCACAGTTGAAACCCAGCTCAACCTCAGCCACTCTCCCTAGTCATCCCCTGCCGAGGAAGATTTAGGATCTGCTGGTAATTTCTCAGAGATTTTCAACATGTCCAATTGGATGGCAAACTTTTTAGGGCAAAGCTTATATCTTAGTCTTCTCTGGTCTCTCCATGACAGATTTTATAGATTTATAGACACATTTACTAAACAGGAAGGTGATCTGGCTGCAGGGACTGAGCCATAAGTGGGCCATGGGGTCTGAGTGGTCCCCAAAGAGCACTGAATCAGAAAGTCTGACAGGATCCTCTGGGAGCCTGCACAATCCTCCAGAACTATCTGGCCTTGTTCCCACTAGAAGTGCGGAAAACCCTGCACTGTACCGTCAGTGTCAACATCTGAGGTGATCATGGTGACCTTGGCCTTGGCAGGTATTCTGTAGATTGGAGACCTAGTGCTCTGTTGGCAGAGGGCTGCTGTCACTTCCTTTGAAAATGGTGGAGCAAGCTGGGCATAGTGGCACATGCCTTTAATCCCAGAACTTGGAAGGCAGAGGCAGTCACGTCTCTGTGAGTTTGTTGCCTGCCTGGTCTACATAGCAAGTTCAAGTTCCAGAAGAACCTACTCTGTCAAAAAGAAGAAGAAAAAGGAGAAGGAGGAGGAGGAGAAGGAGGAGGAGAAGGAGGAGAAGGAGAAGAAGAAGGAGGAGGAGGAGGAGGAGGAGGAAGAAGAAGAAGAAGAAGAAGAAGAAGAAAAGAAAGAAAGGAAGGAAGGAAGAAAGAAAAGAAAAAGAGAAAAAGATGGAGCAAAGAAGGGGGATAAAGTCTGTAGGCAAGTGGAATGAACTCTCAGAGAAGTTACAAGGGCCTATGGCAATTTCTTTCCTATTTATAGTATCTCTCCATAGGGGCAGCAGGAGTTTGAGACCAGACTGCTCCTAACTCACAGAAGAGGGGCTAAGCTCTTTGTGTTGAAGTAGAAGAGGGGTTGAGGAAGCCAGCATCAAGGAGGGCACATCTGTAGTGGAAAGAGAACATGCTAGAAATGGATGAACTGAGTTTGAATCCTCATTCTGATATTGATCAGTTGTGGGACCTTGGGCAAAAACATTGAATTTCTCTGCACACCAATTTCCTCATCTACTGAACATAGATCATAATCCTATGCAGCCCACAGAACCGTCTGAGAGCTCAATGAATGGCACCCCAGAAGCACTGCAGTCGGGGTACCCTTTAAATGGAAAATCACATTCTTCAAGGTCGTGGGCATCACAGCCAGCTGGAATCTATGTGGAACTCCAGAGTGAGGTGGTGTATAGAGACCTCATGTGTCTTGGTCCTCAGATAACTCAGAGACTGGGAGATGATGAGAAAAGGACTGTGGGCGTGTCTCAAGGAGGAAGCAGATTGAGATGTGAGAGTCCAAAAGGAAAAGCAGGGGGGGCGGGGCTGGAGAGATGGCTCAGTGGTTAAGAGCGTTGCCTGCTCTTCCAAAGGTCCTGAGTTCAATTCCCAGCAACCACATGGTGGCTCACAACCATCTGGAAAGAGGTCTGGTGCCCTCTTCTGGCCTTCAGGCATACACGCAGAAAGAATATTGTATACATAATAAATAAATAAATAAATAAGTTTAAAAAAAACAAAAGGAAAAGCAGGAATTGCAGCTGGAAACCGCAGAGGCAAACACACTTCATTTCAGCCACACACAAAGGGGCAGAGAGAGCACAGTCCTCGGTTCAGGATGTTACTATCAAGGAAGGGCTGGCTAACTTACCTTGGGCTGAAGCCATCCGGAGCCACCTGTGCTGTGCCTGGAAGAGACACAACCCTTTGCATGTTGGTACTCTGTGTGTTTGCTAAGAGAACACACCCTCTGTTATCGCCAGAGACTCAGCAATTCTCATCCTATGACACTCAAACAGGCCCAGAGAGTGATGGGGTTCCTGCAGTGGGGTCCACAGTCTGCGCCCGGCTTATGTTTTGTGACACTTACAGCAGAGAGCCTCTAACCCTGCCCTCCAAAGACCGCATGCCTCAAGGAGACCTAGCCAGGTCCCGTTAGACAAACGAAGGTGCCCTCTGGCTGCTTTAAAACCAACATTGCTTGTGCTTTGCTCTGTTGTCCACCGAGCTTTGTGACCAGAAACTCAACCCTGAGGGCTCCCACAAAGCCACGTATCTGTTTCTGATAGGTAGACTCATTTGTATTAGAAAAGTCTTACCACGAACAACCACAAACAGTAAATAAGCCTACTAAGAACACGCACTACATGACGTTTTGCTCAACAAAAGACCCTGCCTATGAAAATGATCCCGTAAGTTTATACTGGAGATGAAAATTCCCATCACCTGGTAACACGGTAGCCAGCCTAACATCACAGCACAACGCACTGCGGCATTCCTCCTGTTTGCTGGGGTGGTGGTGGGAACAAACCCACTGCGTCGCCTTTGTCTCAAAGAGCAGTAATGGTCCAGCCCAGCACACGGGTATGACCGCGACTTGACTGCTTTATGCCTTTGTCATATTGGTTTTTTGTTTGTTTTGGCTTTTTTTGTTTTGTTTGAGACATGGTCTCACTCTGTAGCCCGGGCTGAATCAGACTCACAGGGCTCCTACTGCCTCCGCCTCCACGTGCTGGGATTACAGGAACGAGCCACCACACCTGCAATCATAGCTTGTTTCATCACTGCTCGGCCATTGCTCCTTCTGCTTGGGAACAACGCTGAATGCAAAATGTCATGCTGTGTCACACCCACAGCGGCCTTCCACAGCTTGTTTATTATAAGTCTCCTGATCGCATTAGGAGGCCACATGGAGGGACTGGTGTCCAACCATTCAGGTTTGTGAGGGAACATTCTAGGATGTTTAAACAATGCCTGAGTATCCTGTCCCTTCTGTGTCGTTCCTCCCCATCTCTACCCTCCCCACCCCAACCCTCGTCATTGGGTGAAACTTGCTGCTGGAAGGCTACCGAGGCTACATGGGCTCAAAGAGCCAAGGATGCAGAGAGAAAGGATGTGCACAGAGATGGGCTTCCATAGGTCTCTGCCTTTCCCAAGTGAGTGCCCAGTAGGTTGGAGAGCTGAGGGACATTTTCAGTGGCCTTCAAGGACTGACAAGATAGACATCAGAGGCCATGGGAAAGGGACTGGTGAGACAAATTAGGACACAGAGTGTAAGCGATGTTCCTGGAAACCCAAAGAAGGTGCAGAGGAAGCATTTGAAGGGCAGCGGTGGGGAATTATTCACACCGATGCACAGTAGAAGAGCAAGCAGTGCACACATGGAGGAAACCACCTCCAGGCACACGGACTGTGGACAGTCAGGAAAGGAGGAAATCTCACATACAGCCAGAGGGAGATGGGCATGCTACATCTGAAGAACATCAGGCAGCCTCTCCTCAAAAATAAGAAGAACAGCATAACATTTTCCAAGGGCTGGCACAGTAACAGCGGTCTATGGATTGGGGAAAAAATGAAGATGAAATGGGGACACTGAGACAAACAAAAACGGAGGCCCTAGAAGGAGATCTTTAAGCCAAAGGAAAAGTAATGCCAGAAATGGTGTGGAGGTTTAGGAAGGAATGAAGGACGGAATAGGAAACGACGTGAGCATACCTAAATGCAAACCCACTGTATAAAACAATAACAATGTCCTGTGTCCTCAAATATCTGTACTATGGACTGGAGAGGTAGCTCAGAGTTAGGGCACTTGCCTTTCAAGAGTGAGACCCTGGGTTTGGTACTCAGAGTTGCATCATGACGGTGATAAAAAAAAAAAACCCAGCAACAACTCTGTGTGTGTGTATGTGTGTGTGTCTGTGTGCGTGTTTCACTACTTCCCAATAGTGGCACAGATTGGAAACAAAATATAGCCTTTGCAAGACAGTATAAAAGCACAATAGATGCTCCAATTAAAAGACAAACGTCACCAACACAGACTGAACAATATAATCAAACGACATATTCTTACAAAAGACCACGAAAAAATAGATGATACACTGTGTGCAGCTCAGTCAAAAGAAA